CAAGGGTGAGTAAAAAATTATCTGTCTGTAGAATTTATTTTAATCAACTTTTAGAAAAGACAAATTATTATTTTTTTCAACATAGTCTCCTTGCTTTTCAATACACTTTGTCCATCTGTCAACAAACTTTCGTATTCCCTCAATAGGCTGAGCTGCGAGCCATGAATGCACCGCTGTCTTCACTTCTTCATCATGGGGCAGAGCCATAGCTGATTTGCAAATGATTTGTCACATAATCCACTGTCACTCATCTATTCGACAGAATCATTTCACTTGTACGCTCTGTGTTGTCATCGGACATGGACGGACATCCGGCTCCTTCTTGATGGCTAACATTTGTGCAACTTTCCTTGAACTTCTCTATCCATTCATACACACTTCGCGACAAAACACTTTCTCCATACTGCGCACAAAGTCTTCAATAAATAACGGCACCAGGCACACCCTCAGATCACAAAAAAAGGAATCATTGCATGTGAAAAATAGGCGTCCGTTCTTTCTCGCACCGCAGTTACATATGAACTGACGTAACACGTTCACACCTGCGCAGCAGTGACTGGGGAGACAGTAGCCTTGAACGGAAACGCGCTGATAAGACAGTGCGGCCAACAGAAGTTTTAATATAACCAGAGTGCGGATAATTTTTGACTCTAAGAAGTATTATATTTAATAAATACAAATATTATATAAACTACCAAAACGTACCTGAAATCTGCATTTTTTATATTTGGAGAATAATTGGGTATACAGGGATAAGAGAGGGTTTGGGAAATGTGCGGTTGTGGTTTGAAGGGTGTTTTTGGGAACTCTATTTTGCCATTTTATTAAACAATACAGTGCGGTACTGCAAAAAAAAAAAAAAAAAGGCCCAGAAATTATACTATTAAACTGTTGTGTCACTTGCCAATTTCTACAAAGTTTAGGCTTTTAGTAAACTTTCCTATAGCTTTTAGATCAGATGCGGCTGCTACTTCTACCGTTATTGCTTTATAAAAAACTCATGCAGCCAAAGCTACATAAAAAGTCTTTTTTTCCAAGTTGAAAATAATTAGATTCAGTTGCTGCTGTTTTTGTTAAGCCAATCAATTATGTAAAAGGTAAAAAAATAAATTACACTCGCAAAATATCTGATTCCACTCTTAATGACGTGATTATGGTAAATATAAAATGTAACACCTGAACCCAGTTTTTACATGTGTTAGTATCTCAGCTTGACAAAGAGGCAGGGACCTCGGAACGCGTAGCGCTATCTGAACGCACTGAGCACCATCTTCACTGACGCTCAGGGAGTTCAGCCGATTCCACTACACCGTGGCCCCTTTGTCCCCAATTGCAGTCTCCCATGCAGTCCGACTTGCTGATACCCATTCAGCGGACACCTCACACTGCTGTTGCGGCTCAGCCTGGCCAGCTCAGTCCGCACAGCCCCAGCATCTGACTATTCTTGCCAGCCAAAGACCATCCAGGCAAGCACCCATCCACCCCACTGTCACTTCACCCTGTACCCTGGCTAATCCACGTTCTATACAGGGATTACAGAGGACCTCTTCCTGAGACACAGGTACACCTCAAACGTGAGTTTACCTATACAGTAGTAGCGCTCTAAAAATTATTTGTGTATTGCTGTTTTTGTTAAGCCAATCAATTATGTAAAAGGTAAAAAAATCAATTACACTCGCAAAATATGTGATTCCGGAATATGGTGTCACTCATGTGAAAGCACTACTACTTAAACTCTTAATGTGTTAGTAAAATTGTAATATCTTGCAACTGCTTAGTTTATTCTGGACAATTATACCTTTATTATACCTTTATTATTATTAAAGAAAACTGCTACTACTGTAAGGTCGCACTACTTTTATCTTACGAACATGTTCGAAAACCCGCCGAGAATCGTACGATTTTTGGCGGGTGAGTAGCATGTTCGTAAGATAAAAGCCGGACGGGCCGGTGTGTGCAAGCGCACACTGCCCGTTCGGCATTGCGGGGCGGGCTTGCGATGATCGCAAGTACGATCTGCCTGTCCAAGATAGGCAGATCGTACGTTTTTTTAATTACCTTACAACCATCGCAAGACAAAAGTCTTGCGATGGTTGTAAGGTGTGTGCCCAGCCTAAGACATTGCGCCCATTTAAGTGTTCTGACCAGCAGTGAGGTTTTTCACACAGTAGCAGGCTACGGCCCCTGAGCATCAGTCAGATCACATATAAAAGGCCTATAGACAGCGGAGACTCATAATGAGGTCTGACTAATAGGTAAGATGTGGATCCAAAGCTCTGCAAAGCCTCCAGGCTACACGATGCACTGATACCTTCCCCGATACCGAAACTTCTGGTCAGAGGAAGGGAAACATGGAGCCAGCTTCCAGTGCGATCAGGAAGCTGGGCGGCGAGTAATGACCCACCTCCCAGCTTCCTTATTGGCCGCTGAAGCCGGCTCCATGCTGATTGGCCAGGAAGCTGGCTTTGCCGGCCAATCAGCATCGAGCCGTCTTCCCAGCCAATCAGGAAAGTAGGAGGCGGATCATTACTCGCCGCCTGGCTTCCTGATTGGCCCAGAAACCGTCTCGATGCTGCTTGGCTGGGAATGCCAATTTCCCTGCCAAACACAATCAAGCCAGGCAGATAACATAGAGCCGGCTTCTTGGGCAATCAGATTGCCCAGGAAGCCGGCTCCATGCCAGCGGAAGCAGCTGTATCGGAAAGCAAAGTATCAATACTCATACTCGATACAGAAAAACCGGTATCGGTGCATCCCTAGTCAATAGGGTCTGTGTTTGTACTTAACCTGTTCAAGATGGCTCTACCATTCTTTATCGTCGTCCCGGGCTAGTCAGTGATTGTGTCCATTGTACTAGAGAATTCTTAATATCTAGAAATTTCAAATATATGCACTTGTTTACGGACTATGCACACTGATGTATGTAATAAAACCTATACATATTTGGGGTCCATGTACTCAAGAGAAATATGAGAAAATTGTTTAGTGACATTATTTGGAGTATTATTAAGTACAGGTAGCCCTTGGTTTGCTCCGGTTCCATTTGCGCCGTTTCAAATTAGCGCCCTTTACAGGCAGTCACATGACCACTATTGAAACCACTGCAGAGTCAGCGCCGTCCAGAGTATACTTCCTCCGCAGACCTCAGCCATGGAAGGATACGCGGGGACCTCTGTACAACTCCACATGGCTACAGTACAGAGTCTCTGGCAGCTGGATTGGGGCACAGGCGGAGGATCGTGGCCCAGGGAGGTGAGATAACTGTAGACACTTACAGACTTTGAGGCACACTTGGAGATATGGAGGTGCTTAGAGTCACACTGGGGGGCACAGGAGCACACTTGGAGATGCGCGGGTGGTACAGTGATACACATGGAGATAGTGTACACAGACACATAGAGAGATGCTGGGGACACAGGTGTACACTTGGAGCTACATCACAGGGGTACACTTAGAGATACAGAGGAGCACTGGGGTACACTTGGAGATACAGAGGAGCACTGGGGTACACTTGGAGATACAGAGAAGCACATAGGTACAATTAGATATACAGAGGAGAATAGGGGTACATTTAGAGCTATAAAGGCACACAGAAGTTAATTTGGAGATATGGAGGTGCATAGAGCCCCGCTAGGGGCACAGGGGTACTCTTGGAGATACAGAGGCAGTAGCTATCTCTCCTCGCTCTCTCTCCTGGCTGTCTCGCCTCGCTCTCTCTCCCCACTCTCTCTCCCAGCTGTCTGTCCTCTCTCCCCACTCTCCAGGCTGTCTCTCCCCACTCTCTCTCTCCTTGCTGTGTCTCTTCTCTCTCTCCTGACTGTCTCTCCTCTTTCTTTCTCTCTCCTGGCTGTCTCTCCTCGTGCTCTCTCCTGGCTGTCTCTCCTCTATCTCTCTTGTGGCTGTCTCTCCTCACTCTCTCACATGGCTGTCTCTCCTCTCTCTCTCCTGACTGTCTCTCCTCTATCTCTCTTGTGGCTGTCTCTCCTCTATCTCTCACATGGCTATCTCTCCTCACTCTTTCACATGGCTGTCTCTCCTCTCTCTCTCTCCTGGCTGTATCTCCTCTCTCTCTCCTGGCTGTATCTCCTCTCTCTCTCCTGGCTGTATCTCCTCTCTCTCTCTCCTGGCTGTCTCTCCTCTCTCATCTCTCCTGGCTTCCTCTCTCTCTCCTGGCTGTCTCTCCTTGCTCTCCCTCCTGGCTGTCTCTCCTCACTCTCTCTGCTGGCTGTCTCTCCTCATTCTTTCCTGTTTATTCTCCCCCCCAAAATTGCATTGCTTGCATTGACAACTGTGGAATTTAACTGAATTTTTCTGCAGAGGTCCTACAACTTTGTTTGTAGAAAATGCAGTTTATTTAACTGTTATCAGTGCAGAGGCCGTATAGTTTTGTTTGCACTTAGCGGATTAAAATAAGTGTTTTTTTCATAATCAAAAACTTAGTTTGATGATACATATTGTGTTGTGTGGTTATTTTATAGTGTATATAATACTGTTTAGCATTCATAACATTTATTTTAAAGCTTTAAATATAATGTATTATGTCACTTTTGAGAGAAGCCTTTGACCTAACTCTCTCACTTCCCATTGACTTACATTATATACTGGGTTTCAATTTACTTCACTTTCTATTTACAACCACACCGTAAATTGAGGGCTACCTGTATATGAAATACATTATACATTAAGAAAACTAAAACTGCATTATATTTTTAATTTGTCTTTGCTTATTGCAAAAAAATATTTAAAGAAATACCAAGTGAAGGCCCCATATTTGCTAAGAATAGGGTGTGGAAATCATTGAGGTATGTAAAGTGTTAAAATGTTATTGTTGAATAAACTGCTGCATACAAAAAAATAATAATTTGGTCTAACCGTGAAGGTTTTTTTTTACCTGTTTGCTTGAAAGGGTTAATTGGTTTCCTTTTTCTATGTTACAGCTTGCTGTATATAGAGTCCGATACTTTAAATATCCAAAAACAAAAATGTTGCCCACATATGAAAAAATAAGACCCCAGAATTTCCCCATGTAGATCTTTTCATAAAAAGTCAGTTGTTTTAGAGCCTTATTGGTCCTCTATAAAACCCTTGCAAGCAAAAAAATATTTTTCATGGTCATTCAAAAAATATTTTTTTTTTTAATGCTTTATCAATTGAATGGATATCATATGTCCTCATTTTTTATCAAGCTGCAATAAAACCATTATTTCCTATTAACATTTGAGCCAATCGGAAACTCAGAAGCAAGTAGTGATTTCTGCTTAAGTGAATTGAGTCACTAAAAATTACACACTCCTAACCTACTTGTGACTATATTAAGGAAGATAATAAAAAAACACAACTATACGGGTTGTCATACCCAAAGCACAAATAAAGCAAACATTTGGAAAGATTTCAGAGCATACAAACATTGTGAATTGTGTACATATCAATAATGGTGTTTTAATAAATATATATATATATATATACAGTATCATTATTATTTCTTTTATATTCTGACGACGGCCGATGTAATAAAAAAAACAACTAAAAACAGAAAGGGCACCTCCCTTAAATGAGACGGGAACCTCCCTGAAAAAAAGGTTTTGCAGGTTGTGATGTCTGCCTCTGCTAAGTCTGGCGCTTGGTCATGGACCA